TTCCTGTTTGAGGTGCAGTGACGTTTAAGGGCCCAAAGATCACGAGCATCCAGTAGAGTTTTACAGCCTTGACCCTTACGCACAGCGATTGTTGCAGATTCTCTGAATCTTTTGATAATGTTATGCACAGTTGATGATGATAACTTAAAAGTCTTTGCTATTTTATGCTGGGTAACACCATTCTGGTATTGCTGCACTATCTTTCTGCGCAACAATAGTGGAATTGGTGATCCTCTTACCATCTTGGCTTCTGAGAGACACTGTCACTCTGAGAAGCTCTTTTTATACCCAATCATGTTGTCAATTGACCTAATTAGTGTTAATTGGTCTTCCAGCTGTTCGTTATTTGTTCATTTTCCTTTTTCCAGCCACTTATTTCTACTTGTACAAACTTTTTTGGGATTTGTTGACACTGTGAAATTTTGAATCAACATATTTTTCCTTTAAAATGTTACATTTACTCAGATTAAACTTTTGATCTGTCCTTGCATTCAGTTTTTATTCACAATTTGTTTAGTGTCCCAACTTTTTTGGAGTCCGGTTTGTGCTCCTTACTTCTGCTGAGGTCACGCTGAGATGCTCTCCATCTGGTGGTGAGGTGAGTCTGGTGCTGGGTGGTCTTTTCGGGCCTTCAAAGCATGCATAAAACTTGTTGAGGGCATCAGGCAGAGATGGGTCTTTGGGGCATTGTTCGCTCCTTCCTTTAGAATCTGTTATGCACTTAATGCCCCTCCACAAGCTCCGGGGGTCTTGTGAGGTGAATTGACCCTCAATCCTCTGTGCATATGTGGCCTTGGCCCTCTTAATACCAGCAACCACAGAGACAACCTCTGTGTGCCTGTTTATGTCTCAGGTTGGGTTTTAAGTAGTCCCCTCTCTTGGATCAATTTGGGCCCCCCATTTAATGTGGGGTCTACTTCCCCCTGTCGTGCTATCCTCCGGTGGTGGGCCCCCCTGCCGCCGGTGCATTGGCGGCTCTCAGCATCTGGGGTTGGGTGGTGGGGTGTGTGCAGGCCCACCCTGGTGACTGCCTGCCGGGGCCTGAGTGCCCTGGCTTTGTCGGGCCTCTGTTGGGGGGTGGTATGACCTCGGGACTCGGTGTCCATGGCCGGATCTACTCTGGAGGGGCGGGTTGCCGGCGGGGCCTGTGGACTCATCGCTGCAGCCTCCTGGGGTTTCTGCATTGTGGTTGCTAGGAATCGCCCGGGGCTTCCCTTTGCTTCTCTCTCTGGGGGGTGCAGGTGTCCCTGTTGGGGGACTCCGGGAGCTCCGGGCTTGGGGACCGCTGTGTATCTGTGGCTCCGGTCTTCCCTGTGTTACAATCGTGTCCTGTGGGGATGGGTCTGTGGGTCCCCACATCCACTATTGAACATTTTTATGGAGAAACCTTATAGTGACAAACATGCTCAAACAGGTGTTTAGATTCAGGTGTTTATCAAATACACACTCAAGTGGGTTGTGGTGGCCACTAAATACATCTTGTATTACCATGTACTGTATAAAATACTTTCTAATGATGCTGGTGAAGATTCTCAGTTATCCAGGACATGATAAATAAAAAAAAACGTTCAATACACAAACAACTGGACTTTATTTGTAACAGAAGACTTCTGTTACAAATAAAGTCCAGTTGTTTTTGTATTGAACGTTTTTTGAACTTTCTAATGTTATAAATATCATTATATATGTTGTTTGTTGTGGTGGTTTCTCGGTTTTGTCTTGTTTTGGGTTTTTCTTTCTTTCCGCAGGTCTAGAGGCAGACTTCAATGATGTTGATTTGTGTTCTCTTTATACCTCTCTCTCTCCTCTATTCCCATCTCCTTCTTTACCTTTTAACCCTTCTCTCACTTTTCTGCTTTGTTTTCTTCTTTGTTTTTCATTCCCATGTCATTTACATCTGAAACAAACCCAAAGCAAATTCTAACAAAATTTAATTTATATATCAAGTGGAGCATTAAGGCCAGCCATAATGCTCTGCTTGTGAAAGTAAATCTGTTGGGCATCCTTTGACACTCAGACAATAATTCTAAGTGTCACAATGCCGGACAAGACAAGGGGAAAAAAAAAAAATAAATAATAATATATAGATAGATAGATATATACAGGTCCCAGAGGGATCAGGCAAGACTCAGCAGGATCAGCGACGCACCCGGACAGGCGAATATCCAGCAGATGGTCGGCAGGAGACGATGCAGCAGACGGTCCGGAGTTGGTTAAGTTCCACTGGAGACGGCCGGAACCACCGCAGGCCCGCGCGCGCCCATTGCAAATTCCAGGCCCGGGCACCTGGAGCGAGCTGGAGTTGAGTGGGTCAGCGAAGCATCTGGATGGACAGTTTAACGTCTGATGGTCAGCAGCATGTGATGAGGCAGCAGAGAGCTTGATGCTAGCTTTAATCCTCACGAGAGGGCCGGCACGTCTCCCACGGCGCCTGGAGCGATGTTTTCGGGCGGGCAGAAACACCGTGCGCTTCAGATAAACCGGGATATCAACAAGTAAAGGGGGTAGGGGTCCAGAGCCCTGATCAAAGTGGTCGAACAAGGCGGGGTTTGCAGTAGATAAGTGTATATTTAAAGGTTGCTGGCGATCATAAACAAGCAGTGAGTTTATCACCAAAGAAAAATTACAAAAACAGAAAAAAAACCGATCAAAACAGACAGAGGTGAACGGCAAGCCACCAGCACCGGCGCCATCTTCCTGGAAGTCAACAAGTATAGCACTGATCTGCACATGCACCCAGCACAAACTGAAGCGAACCACTGGTGTATGTTGACCTGCATCAAGAGTGAGTCATACACTGATGTGGTAGAGAGAATCCGGTGATTTTTCAAAATAAAATTTTTCCCCCTTCTGTGCAGCCCAGTACCCATTGACCCACAGACTGGTACCGGTCTGCGGCTCGGGGGGTTGAGGACCACTGGTTTAAACTACTAGAAGGTCCTCAGTAGGGCTGGGCGATATGGACCAAAATTAATATCTCAATATTTTAAGATAAATGGAAATATACGATATGTATCTCAATATTTTTTCTTTCCATAAAGTAATAACAAATATATTTCGAAGTCAAAGTTTTGTCCCAATTGTCACACAGGCACATATAGTAATAAACATCTGTAACTGTACAAAATAAATGTCTAAAAATAAACTATTTGCATATATTAGTTTATTTTTTTAGACCTTTATTTACATTTATTAAATAATAATCCTCTTCAGCTGCTCTGCCATCACGTTAGTAAGCGTGTGTGAACTGCAGCTGCAGGTCCAACAGACTTCAGCCTCCTTCCGTGAAACAAACCACAGTATAAAACTCATTTAGCCATGCTGTGCCTTATGAGGGGAAAGGTGAAAGGTGGCACGAAATTAATAAATCAGCAGTTTATCATATTGCTTACGACACGGTCCTTAGTGGCTAACAAGACGGCTAAAGCCCCCAGTATACTCCCGCGTACGTCCATTTATGCGTACGTACACGTGTATTGTACGCAGAGGGTTCAGACTTGATACTCCGGCGTACATCCTGAGCAGCTACAGAGCAGCTTCACAGACAAGGGGCATTTACCTTTGGGACAAATTGAGGTCGCTGATTGGTCATTTGCTGACACGCCTACTGGATTGATTGACAGGTCGGGAAAAAAAACTAGAGCTGGCAGCCTCAGCCGCAGCGGTGTTCTGTGTTGATATGTTGTAAATAAAAAGATCTAAAATATTTTAAAAAACAGGGAGCGCTGGCTCTGCAGCCCACACATCAGACCAGACCAGCCCACCAGGAAATCTCCAGACCCTCCCGCAGCCACGCTGGACCTATTTTAATTCGCTCATGACAAATTATTTTATTTCTCACCATTTCAGTCATGGCATCAACGGGGGAGGAAGAGATCACTGCCTCTTGGCAAAAAAACTAAAGAAAAGGCCAGATCAGGGATGAAGAAGGGGAATTTAATACATTGGTGTCGCATACAAAACAGTCCATCGCTGGGCAGTTTATTGTGCGACACAGCGTACACATACACGGTCGTAAAAATTGAGGTTTGCACGGACATGCCCTGGGGGGTACGCTCATACCTCCGCGTACGTACGTGCGTACCTCCACGTATGGACATACGCGGGAGTGTACTGGGGGCTTAACACTTTAGCCGTCTTGTTCCACAGCTGAGCCTGGGACCATGTCTTAGCAATATGATAAGCTGCTGATATATTAATGTCGCCAATTCTCACCTTTTCCCTCATAAGGCACAGCACGGCTAAATGAGTTTTATACTGTGGTTTGTTTCAAAGAAGGAGGCAGAAAACAAACTCGGAGCTGCAGCTTATAACTTAACTTATAGAACTGTTTTAAATGGTGAAAAAGATTCATAGTTCCAACCTTTAGTTGGGACTTGTTTTCAGCATTATCTACAGAAAACATTTTTCTGCCACTCATCTGACAATTTAAATCCAAACCATCTCCGAAACAACAGCCATTGTTTTTCGTTTTGCTCAGCAGCTAAGCTGCTCTTCGATATCTCCTGTACTTGTGCTAAACGTCTCCTGCCCACCTGGAGAAACAGGAAGCGGGGAAAGTGTGTATGGCTGAGGGGCTGTGTGTTTGTATTCAATGAAGGAGAAGGAGGGGTCCCGTGCAGATGAGCACAGACGGGAGAAACAGAAGAACTAAACAGATTTTCAAGTTTAATTATGACACAACACTGAAATATCGATATAGACGATATAGTCCCATCTTATATCGCGTATGAAATTATCGAGACATCACCCAGCCCTATAGTCCTCAGATAAGATGAAGCCAAGCACAGAAGATAATTTACACACAGTTGTGATTTACTGAACATAAACTAAAACAGTGTGTGTGTGAGGAAGCTGTACCTCTCTGTCTCCTGATGAAATCCATGATCTTATGTTCACCTTCACCTGGAACACTGGCATCAGACAGGAAAACCTGGATTTACATCAAAAGAATACATTTAAATATTCAGAACAAACTCTGAACAAACAAAACAAACTGGAACTGAAACATTAAGAATGATGAGAGGATCATAAATAAATAGAGATTAAAATTTTGAAATGTACTCACAACAACATTCTTCCATCCAGGATCATTGCTCAGTCTGTCAGCCACGTAGTAACGGAGACATTGAGCCAGGTTATCCATGAACTCTGTCCCCTGCAGACACACATGCACATTAACACTGTGCTCACTGAGCAAACCTTTGGGAATACATCCAGCAGTCATACCGGGGTGATGCAGTTACTGTCGAACCTCTCTTTAATCTCCTCAGGTGGAAGGTAACCTCCTGCAAAAACAAGATGCAGCTAAAGCCACCTGACATCATTCTGACAGAATAATAAATCAAACCACCTAGATTATCCCACTGATTATAATCCATAAAGAGTCAGTCAGAGTCAGAGTCAGAGTTTCTTTATTGTCATTCGCACCTCATGTGGTACATGTGGTGGAGCGAAATTATGTACACAGGGTCCCAGTTACATCCAACAATAAAATGTATAAGAAAAACAGTAATAACATCCAAGACATGAACTAAGAAAAACATCAACTAAATATACACCAAGCACTCATAACATAAAACATTGAACATCAGCACAAACATGAACATGAGTCTGTGAGCAGATGCGCACGCACGAACACATCAACATTGAAACAGATCAGCAGCAACATGAAACAGATCAGCAGCAACATGATATGGTTTTACACAGTGATTATTCTAGTTAGAGATTCATGAGTCTAACAGCCTCAGGGTAGAAGCTGTTCCTCAGTCTAGTGGTTCTACACTTAATGCTCCTTAACCTCCTTCCTGAGGGGAGTGGGGCAAAAAGTGTGTGTGCTGGGTGGGTGGGGTCCTTCATGATGCAGGTGGCCCTCTTCCTGCATCTGGAGGTGTAGATGTCTGTGATGGTGGGGAG